CTGCTCAGAACCATCAAGTCGTTGCCCGCAGCCTTTGCCCCGACGACTGCGGCACGCAAGCGTTTCCACGCAGCAAGGCGCGTCAGAATGTCGAGTTGCTCTCCAGCCGCTTCTCCGGTCTGTTCTCCCAGCTCGCCAAAGAGGAGGTGCAACCAGAACTGGGAGGGTGGTGCCATGGTTTGAGAGCTTTTGCGCGCCCAAAGTTTTCCCAGAGTTGGAGCTCATGCTGCTCATGCCACAGGCTTCGCGTTGCGATGGCTGCCATGTGCCTGTCCGGGTGTGTGATTCGTGCAAGGCCGCATTGAAAGCCGCGGTTTCGCACAACGAGGTCTTGGAGCAGCAGCTCAAGGACAGAATATTCGCTCAACCTTCTTTAGGAATCTCATGCCTGTACACAGTGGAGCAGCACGGACGTTTGCACAGCCCCTGTGAAAAGGACTTTCGGCGCCAAGATCCTCGGGGACAGCTGCTTGTATTGTATCGATTTCGTACGGCCAGTGATCCGTCAGGTCGTTAGCTCACGTCAGCCGCAAGAGTCCCAGGCTAGGCCAGGCCGGCAGCTACTTCGACGGTGAGGTGGGGCTGCAGCGGCAGGGCCCTTTTTTGAAACAGGAACTCGTGTGAGGATAGCAGCAAAACAATATGTTCATAATCTAGCGCTCTGACATTATCAGGGTTTGAGAAAATCTACTATAATTACATGAACAACATGATATACTAACTTTAAAAAGGCTCTCATGAAATGTACTTGCTTTGGTGTCCACCGGTCTTGTCGACGTTCATGCTGGGTGCGCGTCCGTTATGGGTGTCTGCCTTGAGATTTAGGTATTTTGAAGCTCTTGGATTCGGATGCCCCTAGAAATCGTACCATCTTGAAAAGTCCATGTTCTGCAGGCATGCAGCGGCCATTGCGTAGGGGGTGCGCCAGAGCGCTTTGCCAAGTCGACTTGTTCTCAACTTTCTGCATCAGCTTTGAAATTTGCTTGTCTCCCAAGCCGAAAGTTGCAGGTGTGTCTGCGAGAACCCAGTGACCTTTATGACGTAGAAAGATGTGGATGCCGGGCGACCGGAGTTGTGGGATTTTTGTGGGCTCTCGGCTGGGCATCCGGTCCAGGCGCTTCGCCAAGCCTGTCGCAACGAAAGTGTGCGCGAATTGACAGTAACGCATCCGGTGCATGAAAGGCCTCTCAGCTCCCGGGCAGCAACTGGGGGCACACCGGTCAGAACACTCCATGCATTCCCCTTCTTCCGACGCTTTGGGCGGGCATGTTGCGAATGCTGCTTGGGCGGAGATCCTCGCCGTTCCCTTTTGCCAGCAGGATTCGGGATAGACACGCAGAACATGCACATTCCGAGTCTTCTCCTGAGCGGAGGTGGCGGAACTCCGCGCCGAGGCACAGGCGGCCGAGCAACGAGCCGGCAGCCCAGAAGACTGGCTTCCTTCAGGGCCTTGCAGGGCCTTGCAGAGTGCTTGCGCTGGGGGTTCCACCCCTAAACCCCAAACCCTTGACCCTAAGCCCTAAACCCTAAACCCTAAACCCTCCTCTTGATGAAGCTTTGACCTTGCTCAGGCAGCCCTGCAGAGTGGCGAGGTCAGAAGCAGAGGGGGGGGAGGGTTTAGGGTTTAGGGTTTAGGGTTTAGGGTTTAGGGTTTAGGGTTTAGGGTTTAGGGTTTAGGGTTTAGGGTTTGTCTCAGGGCCGATGCCTTTCCAAAGGGTCCCAGCTGCTCATAACGGTTAGCAGTTCGTACTTCGAATTGCATTGACGACCGAAGATATACAATAATCTACAATGGCACTTTTGGTTGTACTGCGCACACAAAAGTACGGGAACACGCAAAGATGTTCTCGTAGAATATTCAGGAAACAGAGATGTTCGGAGGAAGCTATCTTGAGCTTAGAGCAAATAAAGACTTTGCACCCATAGACAATTAAAAAGTGATGCTCTCCTGCTTTGCTGTTAAGAACTCGAGAGGTCGTCGTACTCAAAAATAGAGGAATGGGTGAATAGCGATTTCCAAATAGAATAGATGGGAATGCGGGTTTTCGTATGCAAATAGATGTGGACTGCTTGACATCGGAGGAAATAGTGACTCGGGCAGGCGGAAGCACCCAGGCACGACACCAAATTCAAAACCTGAAAGCAAAATCAAACACCCTAAACCCTAAACCCTAAACCCTAAACCCTAAACCCTAAACCCTAAACCCTAAACTCCTTCAAAACACAAAACCATCCTCCTGAACTTTGAGGCTGGAGCCTTGGCAGCTGCACAGGCCCGGTGGAGAAATCCATGGCCCCCCCCCCCCACCCTACACCCTAAACGTTAGGGTTTAGGGTTTAGGGTTTAGGGTTTAGGGTTTAGGGTTTAGGGACCCTAAACCCTAAGCCCCACCCCCTCCCCCCTTCCCTCCCCCTAGAAAAAAGATGGGGCGTAAGGATGTTTAGGGTTTATAGGAGTTGTGGTCATGGGCTTCGGGTTCTTAAGGGCTTGTAGGGGTTGGGGCTTAGGGTCTCGGAGCCCTTTAACAGGGTTTAGGGTTTGGGGTTTAGGGGTTAGGGTTTGCGGATTTTGAGGTCGATCAGGGTGGTTTTGCTAAGCAATGCTTCACTTGTTTCCGCAGGCGGCCTATGAGAGGCAATGTGCCCGCCTTCAAGAGAGGTGCCAGGCACAAAGACTTGTCACAGCTGATGGCGAGATGTTTTTTGGGCATGCCCAGTTGACCACCCTAAAGCCCCACATCCCGAACATCCTAAAGACGTACCTGAAGCACCCAAACCACGTTTTGTTGTAGGCTACTGCTACCTAAGAATCCTCTAAGGGGACTTTCTAGATGTGGCCGAAACGAGAAGCTTGATTTTGGGCTTCTGTAGGCAAACCCCACCCGTTTTATGAAGACCGCAAAAGGACTCCATGTACCCAGGGGCCCCATTCCCAAGGACTGCCCCAAGACATCCTTCTTAAGGCTCCCTGCAGGCTTCCTATTATGTGGGGGTGCTCTAGGGTTTAGGGTTTAGGGTTTGGGGTTAGGGTTTAGGGTTTAGGGTTTAGGGTTTAGGGTTTAGGGTTCAGGGTTCAGGGTTTAGGGTTTAGGGTTTAGGGTTTAGGGTTTAGGGCCATGCTTTGTCAGGCTGAAGCCTCCCAGGAGCGAACTGCCATGGAGACCTTCCACCGCAGCGCATCTTGCCATGGTATGCCGCCGCCCAGCGGACCCTAAACCCCTGTAGCGAGGGACTGTGTCTTATGGCTATGTATATATATATATATATATTTATTTATATTTATTTATTTATTTAGTTATTCATTTATTTATTTGTTTATATTTATATATACATATTGTACATTTGTACATATACATATATTCGTTTCTACAGGCATGTATGCACGTACGTATGCATGTGTGTGCGTATACATATTTGCATGCATTCTCTTATTCTGCCGCCAAAGGCATCTGAGCTGGCCCACTTGAAGTCGGACTGCTCCCAGCTGACTGCGAGGCCTAGCCCTTGCTAGGGTGTAGGCTTTAATGTTTCGGATGTTGCACGGAGGCTTTACAGCTCGGGTTGAGGGGATTCGGCTTGAGGCTGGAGAAAATGGTTGCCCTGGCAACATATATCTCATATACACGCACGCGCACGCTAGAATCAGCATGAGCGTCGCAGTCTTCTCCTCTTGCTAGTTGCTCAGAAAGGCTAATGTGCGCATCGCGGTCCAGCTTGAAGTGTGGCAACAGAAGCAAAGCTCATCAATAATAAAGCACAGACGTATGCTGAAGCGTCGATGTGTGCACCGGCACAGTTCCAGCCTTCAACCAAGCCGTCCTAAACCCTAAACCCTAAACCCTAAACCCGCAGGCTGGATGCTGCAGAGGCCCCCAGAGTTTTGCTAGATTGGGAGTTGAGGAGACTTGTGTGGGCGATGGCTCTGGGTCTAAAAGCTCCCTTGTGCTGCGCAGACGGGTTTAGGGTTTAGGGTTTAGGGTTTAGGGTTTAGGGAAGTTGTTGCCAGCTTAACGTCGGGCACCCGCGCTCTTCCTGGCAGGCCCAACGGCAAAACCTTCATGGAGATCTGCACAGCGCTAAAGAAGGCTGCGTGGTCTCGAACTCCAAGAGAGTCGGCACGAGGGCGACCTTGTCGACGAGAAACTTTGCTTCCGGTCCAGTGTGTGCACTTGGAGGTTCATGGTACTTACTTACCCAATGCGAACTGTACTTTTAACCCAAGTATAACCATCTTTGGCACTCAGGGGGCTTATGAGGGGTTTATAAGTGGGTGATAAGTACAGTAATAGTTGAGTTCATAAGTACCCTAAACCCTAAACCCTAAACCCTAAACCCGAAATTGGGTTCATAAGTACCGTGAGCCTCCAAGTAGGTGAGAAGAAGATGTCGGAAAAGGCAGAGGAGCTTCGGGAGAAGCTAGCAGATGGGAAGGCCCTCGGGCAGGTGCACAAACATGGCAGCTCAGCGCACTTCATTTCTCCTCATAGGGTTCAGGGTTTAGGGGTTTAGGGTTTAGGGTTTCATGTGGGTTGCAAAAAAAGAGGCATCAGTGGTGCCTGTTTCACAGCTACTAGGCTAAATTGTGGGAGTTTCGCAGTCGCTCCTTGCTTTCGGCTCTCGGCTTGAGGGTGTAGGGATTTTTGGGCAGCTGCAGCTGGAAGGCTCACACTCACAAAGCTTGCGAGGGGCAATTCGCAACTTGAGGGTTTTAGGGGTTTAGGAGGGTTTAGGGGGGTTTAGGGCTTTAGGGGTAGTGCAGTCAAGAAGGTGCCTTCATGGCCTTGTTTGACGTTTGATGCCTTCCCCGAAGAGGTTGTGCCAGCAATTCGCTATGCTGAGGGTGTCGGCATCGCGTCACTTCTCTAAATGATGGTCCCCTTCTGGGGTCCCTATTAAGAGAAGGCCCCAAAGATTTACAGTACCCCAAAAAAGGTCTATTTGGAGTACCCCAAAAAAAGGCGACCACGGGCTGAAATTCGAAGGCCTTAAGCCCTGGGGCCATGACCCGGCCATGGCGCGGGACTCACCTGGCCTTCCTTACCTGCGCCGTGCTCCTACTCAGCGAGCCACAGGCGTGGCGGCGCTCCAGCGGCTCACATCGGCCTCTTGAAGGATGCGCAGTTCCTTGTAGGCCTTATAGCAGCTGAATGAGTTGACGCTTTTTGGGGGATGCTATCATCCCCTATAGACCTGAAAGTGTACGTTTTTAGTCTTATTTTTATTTTTGGGGGGAGGGCTTATGAACTCAGCAACTATAAGGTCCTTCACAGCCCTGGCCTTCCAGCTGCAAAGAAGTCTTGGCTGCGCACGGGCATGTTTGTGGACGCGATGGCCGGGCCGAAGACCTGGAAGCCCTGCCGCGTTCTCCATGTGACTACCGATGGCAAGGTGTGCCACGTGGTCTACACCGAAACGAACAATGTTGAGCGGAATGTGGATGTCAAGGACAGGATCAAGGCGACTCGGGACACGTTTGCGAGGTACGAGGCCAGTCGGTTGGAGGAGTCTTCCCTGGTTCCAGGAGTTCGCGTGACGGGGGTCGTCACAAAGCTGGATGACTTTGCCGCCTTTGTGGACATCGGCTCCGAGACTGAAGCTTTCCTGGGCTACCTGGAAGCAAACTTGAGCGATCTGAAAGTTGGACAGGAGGTGGCCGGCGAAATTGCCGCCCATCGAAGCGGCAGATATCAACTAGCAGCAGAAGGAACCTTCAGCAGCGAGGACAAGGCCCTCCATCGACTGCACGCGTGGGCTGCTCGGGAGGCCCTTGGGACATCTTATATCTTTCCTTTATTGGGTTTAATCGGAGCAGACTTAGGAATGTATATATATGTATATATATATATATATATATATTTCTCGTATTGGGTTTAAGAGGATCATATTTAGGAATATTTTTTCAGAGGGTCCAAGGGGCCATCCTAGGCTGGCGAACGCACAGGGTGGGTAGCTGGACAGGTTGTGGATGCCGACAGATTTTGCTTGCACGTGAATGTTGAGGCACCAGGCGCTGTTGACCCAGTTCAGGGCGTAGTCCATGCAAATGAGATTCGGGACGGCTACGTGGGAGACGCCCGGTCGGAGAGACAGGTGGGCGATGAAGTGCAGGTTCGAGTGTTGGAGGTAGATGTCCCATCCAAGCGTCTGGTTCTTTCCATGCGGCACGACTACTCGAATGCCTGGAAGGTCAGCACCGACACAGTGCGCCAGGTGACCAGCTTGCCTCGGCGCAAGTTGTTCAAAGCAACGGTGGAGGTTGAGACTGCCGCCGGATACCTGGTCTCGGTGGATCTGTTGGGTGACAGAGACCCAGTTCGCGCGTTGCTACCGGCAGCTTGGGCGCAGCCCCCGCCACCCATTGATTCCAAGATTAGGGTCCGAGTGGCTGATGTTGATGAGGCAGCGGGGAGAATTCTCGTGGCTGCTGCGCAGTCCTCCGCTGGAAAGAAAAAATGCCTGCGGCCTCGCCGTGGATGAAACCGAAACCCCACCGGCCCCACCCCGCCCTGCATCCGCGACCGGCCGTTGAAGCATATTGGGACCTCGCAGAGTCGAAGTTGCAACCATCCTTGAGTTGCTTTGCCTTAAACTAGTTCCTTGACCCTAAACTCCATTCCGAAAGCCATCTGTCCGGCTTAAGGGACAGGGTGATTGCAGCATCAATCGCGCTACCGGGCGCAGGTGAAGCTGCAGAAGCAGAGAGAACAGGCAGGGATCCTCGAGTCAGTCCTCTAGTCTTCCGGCGCAAGTGCAGAACCGAACTAGGAGGTTCATGGTACTTACTAACCCAATCATAACTGTATTTATAACCCAATTATCACGATGTCAGGGCACTTAAGGGGCTATTGCAAGTACAGTTATAATTGGTTAATAAGTACCATGAACCTCCGAGTAGAAGGGTCCATGTACCTAAATAGGGAATGCTTGGGCCTTTCTGTACCTCCAGTCTAGGGATTTTGGGGCCCAAGCACTTCATGATGAAGTACGACCCTTGGGGGAAAGGTTCTCATGCTACTGAAGCTTGCAGCCGAAACCACCGCTAACGTGGCACTGTTGGCTCACGGAGCGATGGCTCTGCTTCGGGGCGTCAGGGAACAGCTTGTAAACTTATAGAGCATCGAAGATGCAGCAGGCGACTGGCATTCCTTCAGCGCTGTTTCGTAGAAAGTGGTAGGAAAAAATCGAGTAGTAATTCGAGGGTAATAGACGCTAGACCTTTGGCTGCTCCACCTATAGCATCTCCCCCCCAGCAGCTACGGGATGAAGGCCTCGGCGACCTTACCCTCCTTCTGCTTCAAACCGAAGGATCCTTCGAAGCTTCAGGGCCTGCCGCCCCTGGACAAGCCCTTGCATCAGATCCCTAGTGGAGTTTGTAACCTTTTAACCTTTTTGGGGTAGTAGAATCCCCTTAGAATCCCAAAGGTTAACCTTTAGTCCCCCAGGTTACTGGCAACTAAGGATCCATCCCCCCCAGGGTTACTGGGCAACTAAGGATCTATGGCCGGAGGTGGACCTCGGAAACCAAGCGCTACCTCCACGTCCACAAGGAGCGCCGGTGGCTGGCCCTGAAGCTTGGTCATGCTTGGGTAACATTTTACATTTTCAAGGGTACTTAAACCCAATAAGAGATGACATATTTGTACAATTATCCCCACCATGAACTTAGGAAGCACAAGCACCAGTTCCTGGACTTCTCTCCGCAAGAACGGGTCGAGCTGCGCCGCTACTTTGACGAGCTTGCAGGGACCAATGGCAAGATCAGTCTGGAGCAGCTGGAGACGATGCTGATCTCCCTCGGCCTTGCCGAGAACCCACGGGAAGTGCGGTTTTTGGCGGATCAGGTGGACGACCTGAAGGTCGGAGAGCTTGATTTCGAGCAGTTTCTGGAGCTCGTCCTCCGGAGAACCGACTCCAACCTAGTGACGGTCTTTATGCAGATGGCCAGCGGAAAGCTTGGAAACTCGAACCTGAACTTCAAGACCCTGATCTCTGCATACCGCCGCCAGCTCTTCCTAGATGCGTCCGGGGCCGGCACCAGCGGGCGCCAGCAGCTGGGCGGCAAGATCCTGCAATCCTTCGCCGACTTGCAGCGAAACCGGTGGGAGGCCAAATTTGCTGCTGACAAAGAGGCACAGGCGATGGGCACCGACGAGCCAGACTTCAATGTCGCTGCAGCGCTGTTGGCATACTTTTGCTCTCAAGAAATCCTATGGGACCCTCTCAAACTGCATGCTTGTCTTGTCTTGCTCTGCTTTACCTCAGCGGCAGCATATCACAACCCTGAGCCCTAAACCCAATAAACCCAGTAAACCCAAAAACCCGAACAAACCACTCGTACAGGTCAACGGTCATGCGCCGGTCGGCGGCCTGGAGATGATCTGGCGAGGGGTCTGCGCCGAGAACGACCTGTGGCCGGCTCGGCCCGTCTCGGAAGATGGGCGGAAGACGCGCATCTTGAACAAGCCTCCTTCACCCAGAGACATCCTGCGGGCTATCCACCGGGACTCCCCCAAACGGAGGACACCCAGTGGCAAGCATAGCACGATCTTCGTGGACGCCCCCTCAGCATCGGAAGAGAGGCATTGAGGAGGTGAGTTTGAACGCGGCCCAGGTATAATAAAAAATGTGAGCAGCAGCCTATATGGGTTTAGGGTTTAGGGTCAGGGCTGAGGAGTCATTGTAAGATCACGGCAGACTGCCATTCCTGTCAGGAGCATTGAACACCGATGCCCCAATAATTCAAAGCTGTGCACCATACAAAGATGGTCTGCGGCTCACCTTGCGTTTCCACTCTCGCTGGCGAAGTACGTGCTTTGAGCAAAATCTGATTGCCACTGCACCATATACAGGATGGGCTAGTAGGCCTTAAAATCCCCATAATGAACCCTATAAAGGGCCTTTTAAGGGATTATAGGGTATAATCGCCCATCCTGGTACCACAAGCCTCTTACATCACTAGAAGGACATCTGAGGCATCGGCCTATGCGACCTGCACTGCAGGTCCAACATCGGCAAGGAGAAGTTGCGGCCCCTGCCCCTGGCAAATGGTGACCGCAATCGGGTTTAGGGTTTAGGGTTTAGGGTTTAGGGTTTAGGGTTTAGGGTTTAGGGTAGCATGTTTCCTCGCCTACCACCGTCAACCATATCTGAGTTTGGCCATCTTCGCGTCGCCCAGGCCTGCGAGAAGAGGTTGTCGGTCCTCAAAGACAACACCCAGGAGTTAGGGGTGGAGGGGGTTCCTCTTTTCCTCCTCCACCGGCATTCACCTGTTTGCATCCCAAACCCTGCCTGCCGTGCGCGAGTGTGAGAGTGGAAGCCCACAAAGGAAATGGCTTACAAGGATATTATAACAATGAAAGAATCTTAAATGCAAGAGTATATAATATGTGACAAGCTGGCTCAGTGTGTCATTTGCCGATTCGTACGGAGATCGATTTCGAGCGACCTGCCTTCTAAATCATGGGCTGGATCAGTGAAAATTTTCGGTATGTGCATGTTACTCGCCTGGGGCCTTGCATCTGACTGGTATCGGACGGGTTAGATGACCGATCGTGTTTCCAGTTCAAAGCGTGCACCTGGCAGACCCAGGCCTGCAAGCTGAGCGTGGCTGAGCCCTTCTGGGCAGTGGGTTTAGGGTTTAGGGTTTAGGGTTTAGGGTTTAGGGTTTAGGGTTTAGGGTTTAGGGTTTAGGGTTTAGGGTTTAGGGTTTAGGGTTTAGAGACGCTGGGTCGATCGTTTCGGTCGCTGCCATCGTCTCTGAGGGGGCTGGGCTGTCATGAATGCCAATTGCGCAATTCCAAAGACCATTTCCCGCCACCCCCCACCACCCCCCCCTCCGCCCTCCCCGTCCCCGCTTATCTTTCGGGAAGTTAAGGAGCGTATTAATTTGTATCCTAAAAGCAAAGAGAAATACTAGAATAGATTGAATACAGGATTTGAAGCACTCAAAGGCCCTGAATGGTAATGTCTTCGTGGGGAAACCTGTCGGGAGTTCTTGGACAAGGTGGACACACTATTATTACTGTCTAACCCTCCCCCCCCCCACCCAGACCACCAGGGACAAGGAGGAGGGGGGCCCTGATGGGGAAGAGGTGATGGATGAAGATGGGATCGATGTTGCCTCGTTCAGAAGTATGGAACCCCGGAAACCCTCAACCCTAAACCCGAATGATGTAGGGCAAAATACCCCCCCCCCCCCACCACTTCCAGGATGTTCGGCCCACGCCTGCAGCCCCAGTGCAGGAGCTGAAGCAATGTCTGGGTGAGGAGCGGAACTCGGCGCAGAAGACTGAAACAAGGCTTCGTGAGCAGGCTGGGTGTTCTGCAAGCTTGCAGCCTGCAACTCTGTTGCCGCATTTCCAGCCTTGATAGACAGAGCCGCACAGGAGTTGGTTTTTGGAACGCCCAAGGTTGTGAATGCCTACATGGGTTACAGACCGGCCAGAACATGCTTAGTGGTAAGCCGGGTATCAGTGGCCATTGAAGAGACAGCTCGAATGATAGATGACTGCTGTGAAGGCTTTGAAAGGACGGTGCCCTTATCGATGCTGTCCTGTTGTCGTGTGGGCGCAGTGATGCGCAGCCTGTGTCAACAGTTGCAGTTGCCAGGACAACCGCAAACCCCGAAACCCTGTAAACCCCGTGTGAACCCTTGTAAATAAGCAAGCCTCAATAGCCTAAACCCCAAACCCCAAACCAAAAGACCCTAAACCCTAACCTTAAACCCTAAACCCTAAACCCTAAACCCCATCCATGACCTTCTCACGCGCACAGGTGGGCCGGAAGACCCGGTACGAACAGGAGCTGTCTTCTCTCAGAGAGCAGCTGGACAAGCTGCGAAAGGAAAGCATGGACCTGCAGGCCATTGAGGGGACACACGAAACTCCAAAGCAAAAACAATCTTACAGTACGAATTACCATATGAACAGAGTAATATGTTAATGGAATCCACTCTTATATTGTTATATGTTTATATTCTTTAATCAGACATTATTTTGCTGCATTTTTATTTTGTTGTACTACATGAATATTCTTTTGTATCAGATTATATCATTACAGCCCCTGAAGCTGTTGGGCTCCAAGAGTGAGGAGCGGATGTCCGCGAGTCGTTGGTGTTTGAGTTTCTCGCAGAGCCCCGAGGGGTAGGGACTTGGGTTTGGGGTTCCTGAGGAGCAGAACCATGAGAAAGTGAAGGAGGTCAAGCAACTTCAAGAAAGGCCAGAGCATTCATCTGTTTCGCTCAGCCAGTCCTGTCTGATGTCTGTCAATTCACACATGCTCCAAGGCTAACCCCTGAACCCTAAAACCTCCAAACCCTATCTCTCGCCGGAGGCTCTTGTGTGAGCAGGAGCGGCATCGCAGTGAACTCGAAGCTGCTTCTTCCTCAAGCAGAGCCTGCCCGTAGGTTTAGAATGGTGTTGAGCTTTAGGGCTTACAGCATGTAGGGTTTGCGCTACTATTTGCTTAAGAACCCCCCCCCCAAAAAAAATCGAAAACATTCTTCCTTATAATTATAAGGAGAATATCATTATTATTATTATTATATTTCTTGGTGTTCTTAAGCAAAGAGTAGTACAGGGTTCAGCTATTACGATTCGAACGGCGTCAATACTGTGCGTACGCGCATGTACGGGTTCTGATACCGGCGCTACTTGGAGATTCATGGTACTTAACATCCCAAGAATAACTGTGCCTATAGCCCAAAAAATAACAATGTTAGGGCACTTAAGCGGCATATGAGTGGGTGATAAGTACAGTTATAATTGTTATCATTAGTTATTGAGTGCCATGAACCTCCAAGTAGCATTCGTACAAAACAGGCACAACAGGGCTGAATACATGTTCTGCATGTGGGGGGTTTACGAGAATGGGACCCCCAAAATATTGACCCCAATAGTAGCAATCCCATTGAAATAGGGGCCCCAATAAGGTACCCCCAGTGTCGTAAAGCCCCATATTCACTAGTGGCCACTGTAATTTCTCACCCAAAAAATGAAGCACAAGAATGACAAAAAGAAGAGCCACAAGAACAATAAGAGGGTTTAGGGTTTAGGGTTTAGGGTTTAGGGTTTCCCTACTAAGCCGTACTAAGCCAGAGTTGGCAACAGCGAGGCTGAGACCTGTCGAGCTCACACCAAGCGCTTGGAGGCTCGACGTCAACAAAAATATGAGGGTTTAGGGTTTAGGGTTTAGGGTTTAGGGTTTAGGGTTTAGGGTTTAGGGTTTGGGTTTACATGGTTTGCATAGGCTAGGAGAAGCAGGTGATGGCGTACCCCACCAGCCCAATGCCCCTTCATAAATGACAACAAGGATCCCTGTCTAGCCGAAGGTGACGTGCTTGTAGGAATCGTGGTTTGTGGTTTTGGGGTCCGTTTCATGTGGGCCTGTACGGTTTTGAAGTTGCCCACCCCTAAACCCTAAACCCTAAACCCTAAACCCTAAACCCTAAACCCTAAACCCTAAACCCCAATTTCGAAACGGCGCTGTGCCCCCCCCTTGCAGGCTGAGCTCACTGGAGCGCAGGGTGCCAAGGCAGGGCAGACCACGTCAGCTGTTCCCTTTCTTTCTGTGCCCTAAATATTAGGGTTTCCTAAATATTAGGGTTTAGGGTTTAGGGTTTAGGGTTTAGGGGTGTTTCCTAAATATTAGGACCCCAAAGGGGAGCATCATTTAAGAAAGTTCCCCTTTCTTTTTGTACCCTAAATACTAGGACCCCAAAGGGGAGCATAGTGCAAGAGAAGTGACCAGATGGTAAGGACAAGCGCGTCTGCTGGAAAATGCTGGAATCAGGGCTGGCATGCAGGCAATGAGGTGCCCCATACTCCCCCGCTTGCAAGAAGCTCCCCTGCCAAGCCGTAATAAAATTAGTCTATGATTGCTTACATACTGAGAGAATGGCCATAGTCACCATTGAACGCATGTGTTCTCTGGGATTCTGGGCACTCCAGGAAACTCTGGGGTTGGATATCTTGGAGAACTCCATGGGTACTCTGTGGGATTCTTGGGTGGTGCAGGTTCTCTACTCCGGAATAACTGAGAGGTATTCTGTACTGGATTTTCTGGCAGTGGGCACCCTAAACCCTAAACCCTAATCCCTAAACCCTATAAACCCTAAACCCTAAACCCCTGGATTCCTGGCATTCCGGGGGTAGGCCGACGTGGAACTGGAGCTTGCCAACTTGCGGAAGTTTGCCGTGGCCCTGGGGCCATGGCCAGGATTGCATGAGGACCTGTGGCGCTTAGGGTTTAGGGTTTACGGTTTAGGGTTTAGGGTTTAGCCACGTTATAACCATATTATATTATATTTAAGGCCCTAAGGGTCCATGTACCTAAATAGGGAATACTTGGGCCTGAAAGTACCTCCTATTTGGGGATGTTTAGGACCCCAATATTCAGGTACCATGGGCCCTTCGGGTAATGGCCCAAAATGGCCCTGACAAGCACTAGAAGAAGAAAGAGTCCCTGTGAGCGCTACATTATGTGACAGCCCGAGATCGGTCCTCGAACTTTGCTTAAGCCCTACAAGCGCTAGCAGACTTACTATAGGGGTCGGAAGAGTTGCTAACAATACTCTCTTCTGGTCCCTTTGTAATTTTACAATAACCCCAAAACCATGTTCTCATTATTCAGGCCCGTATGTTATGTACATCTCCTTCATGTTCGGCAAGAGCCGAGCATAGACATCCGACACTGATGCCGCAGCCTTTCTGAGATAAATTTGGCTATGATGGCTGTGATGACCCGGCAGATCGCCCAGGCATCATGCGTCGCCTACTTCATCGCGAGCCTTGTGGTGCCCCAAACTGTGAACGCTCAGATGGGCCTGGTGTTTTGCAACCCCCTCTGTTCCCATGACAGTGGCCACCCGGACCATAATCTGGTGAGCTCCCTGGATCTTATGGTGCAGCTGCACGACGCGATTGTGCAGCAGGACTGGCCCACGGCCCTCGTCGAGGTTGATTTCAGCTCGAGTCTGAGATCTTTCGCCGTGGCGCTGAGGGCCCTCTCCGAAAAAGCGGGGCCTCCCATGTGCGCGGCGTCGTTTTGTGGGGACGCCCCGTTTCTGGATACTTTGCGGTCGGCTCTACAGGAATGCAGCTTGGTCTCCGTGGCAGTTCCGCGACCGCCCTTTGCACATGTTCTTTCTTTAACAACAACCTAAAGCATGCCTATCTAAGAGGGCACTTAAGAGGCTAGAAGGGTTGGGAGCTGCGCAGGGAACAGCTGAGGCTTCGGCCGTATTCCTGTTGCGGGCCCCACCCGATGACCCCTGCTGCGGCGCCCTGCGGGCGGCCGCCTACGTCGCCAGCGCAGAGGCGCTGAGCCTGAGCCGCGGGGCTCCCCGGCCCCTCGCGGGAGCAGGGGCTGAAGCACCTTCATTCCTGCGGAAGCAAGGCTCCCAAAAGTGGTATACGGGCTACTATATATTTTTTATTAATCCTATTTTTTGAGGGGGGGTTGGGGGGGGTCGAAGGTGAGGCCGGTGAGGCTTAGGTTCCCGTATGAATAGCCCGTGACAGGAACAAGGGGGGTTCTGTTTGATTCGCCTGTTTTATTCTGGGCTCCGGAACTATCCGAGGAAAGGCCAGGCTGCGTATGTAGCCTGGCTTCGGCGACTCCAGACCCTGGGCCACGATGACGGAGACTTTGTCATAGTTGGGGTAACATTTTTGCATTTTTAAGGGTACTTAAACCCAATAAGGAATAGAAATTTAGATTTTTAGTACTATCCCAAATCCCAACCATGAACTAGGATATGGGCTGGTGCTACACGCGTTCCTGGCACCCGGAGCACACGAGCTGTTCCAGGTCCTGTGTCGAAGCACCTGCCCGTTCACACAACGATCCTCCGACTCCGACCTTCCGGGTGGTTCCTGCCCACATTCTCAAGCCTTGCGCGACATGGCTGAAAGATGGGCGGCTTCCTTCCGCGACTTGTACGGCGGCTGCCGAGCGTGGCTGGAGCACATGAGGTCAGAGACGTTATACGCCGTGGAGTTCTCCACTCACTCCACCTCGCAGGCACCCGGAGGCGGGGAATGCGTGCTGGAAGCCGTTGCTGCTTTGGATGCCGCATGCGCCGACGGCCTCAAGGCCAAGGGAGTTCTGGTGGTTGCTGGAGGGCAGAAGAAGGTCATGTCGCCTGTATGGGAGCAAGGAGTCGGCTTCGATGCGACCCCGCTTCAGCACTTGCAGGAAGATTGCGAGGTCCCCATCTTGATGCTAGATGTTGGTCCAGGGGAGCAACTACAAATCCTTAGGAGCATGGCACAGTTGCTGAGCCAAGGGCGAGTGTTCGGCATTCTCACTCGATTGCACAATCCGTATCATTGGCCTGCAGCTGATGACCCCTTGGCCGTTTATGAGTTTTTGGCTTGGCACGGCTACCTACTCGGGCCGCTCGACGATCTGGACAGAACCTTCACTGCGGTGGGCACGGTGCAGCTTGAGGTGGCGTCCGCGGATGCAGTCAGTGACCTTCTCGCCGTTGCTTTTCCGAGAAGTCTCAGACCTGCTGCACGTTTTGTGTCGGATCCCGAGATCACGGACTCCTTCGCCTCGGCGCTCCGGTCGAGTTGTGTAGCTGCGCAGCGGCACAAGCCCAACAGCTGGGTGGAGGTGGACACGCGGCAACTCCTCCAAAAGGTCCAGCAGTTGACAGTGCAGCTGTCGTCTTTGCCGCAGCAACGCCGGCGCATTAGCGCCCTTCTTCCGTCGGATGCATTGGGTCATGACAGTCTTCTTGCCGGCCTGACGCTGGCTGCCTCTCTTCATGTGGCCACCTTGTTTGTGGAGAACGTGGCGGTGGCCCTTCAGCTCGCATCGAAGATGGGCATTCCCACAGGTCGCACCAAGGCACCTGAAATTGTGCTCTTGCACCAACCTCCCCAGATCAACCTATGCAGCCTCGTCAACGCCGGTGTCGCCATCGCCGTCCAATCCTTCCGCTGGATCCTGGCAAGCCACCGCTGCCGGCGTCCTGTGAAGATACACCTAGAGATAGATACAGGAATTGGCCGAACGGGCTTGAGACCTGGGATTGCCCTAGGCGCCGTGTATTTCGTCTTGCAACACCCGAGGTTCTCCCTGAGAAGCATGTACACCAAGCTGTGCTGCGTCAGGGACTTGGTTCTCACCGGCAACGCCTTGAGGCAGATGTCGCGGCTTGAGGCCCGTGCTGAGGCACTTCTGCATGGATCTGGCAGGGCGCGGCAGGTCGCGATTCAAGTCGGCGGCGGCCTGGCCAGATTGGACGCTGCTCCCGTCGCCGCTGCTTTACCACCGCATTGGTGGGTTCGGGTTGGCCAAGGCCTGTTCGGTGATCCGGTGCTTGGAAACCTTGCACCTTTGGCAATGACCTGGAAGACCACGGTGTCGAGCACAAGCTTCTTTCCTGAGAACACACGCATGGGCTATTGCCCGCAGGGTGCCGATTGCGACAACCGAACACGTATTTTGACCCTCTTCAGCACAGCAACGCATTTCACTCCTGGCTGTTTCTTACTGCTGAGGGTCAGTTTTCTTCATCGCTTCAGCCTCTACCAGGATGGGCTATTAGGCCTTAAAACCCCCACAATGAACCCTATAAAAGGCCTTTTTAAGGGATTATAGGGTATAATAGCCCTAAACCCTAAACCCTAAACCCTAAACCCTAAACCCTGTAAGGAAGGATACTCATGCCGCCATCCTCCCAGTTGGCTTCGCGGAGTTTTACGGGGATGCCGTGTGGACCAGCAGCGGGCAACAGCTTCCTGTTCCTTGGAGACGAAATGAACCTTAGGGTTTAGGGTTTAGGGTTGAGGGTTTAGGGTTTAGGGTCTATACTACTCTAATTCCTATTAAGGTATATGAACCATAAACCCTTTTAGGGTTCATTTAGTCCCCAAGGTTCTAAATTCAGCCGCAAGCACGACCAGCGTGGAGTTCTCAGAGCATGCGCCACTGTCAGTTGGAGAAGAAGTGACGCCTCTCGCTCGCAAATAAGAAGCCACATATACCTACTGTTTGGCTGCCTCACGCAGTGGGACCTTTGGGATGCAGCGGCAGAGAGAGAGAGAGATATATATACCTACCGGTACGCTAACCTTAGGCATGTTGGGCTTGAAGCGCAACTTCCGAAGCCGAGATTTCCAGACGGAGCCGCACTTATCCAAGGTTATGTTCGAGGTGTCCATTGGGCACCGTTCCTTGGAGCATACCGCGGTTTCCCAGCAAAGGCTTACCTGCCTTGGTGCCATGCTCTTCGGTGGTTTGGTAGCTCGCCCTGAAGTTGCCCACTCGCAGGGCTCGCCACGAGGCAATGTGAGGTGCAAGCACTGACACGCCAAGCACTGCGGGGTGAACCAAGACCAGAACGCCGAGATGTGGGATGGACCACCTGCCTGAGGCCTGACATGCCTTTGCCACTCTCTCTTCGCAACTACCCTCTGCCATGACAAGTTGGAAGAATCCTTAAGCTGAGACTCCGCGGTCCTCGCGCTCTCGGCCAACAAACAAACTCTCCGCGAACCATGCCAATCATCGCAAGCACATATGCACGCCCTCTTGGGCTTGTGTGCCCGCTCGTCACGCAGGAGGCGACTGCTGAGAGCAGCACATGCAGCACATGCAGCCGAAAAGGAGCTCACACCTCTCAACATAGGCACTCAATCTCAAGCAGCTGCGCTGTTCTCATCCTGAACCGTTTAAGGCGGCAGATCTGACTGAGCCCGGCCCTCATCGGAGAAGCAACAAAAGAGTGGGAAGTCTCCAACTTGCATATGTATGATTGTATAATGTCGTGTCAGAAAGTCTGTATTTTCTGTATGTGTATGTATGTATATATATATATATATATTCATATATATATAAATATTTATATTTATAGTTGATTTTTTTATTTTCTTTGTTTATTTGATCTCATTTGCTTATACATGGGATGCAAAGGCATTGTGCCGGGCATCGTCGCAGTCGGGACGAGTTCCTCCAAAAGCAGAGTGCCGGCGAGGCCGCTGCTTGTCAAACACCGTGCTGCTTGAGTCGGGTCCCAAAGGAGCCCCAAATGTTGGGGTTTAGGATGATATACGTCCTAAACTTTAGGGTTTTTGTTTTAGGGTCGAGGGTCGTTCTCTGTCTTGCATGTTCGGAGAGCAGTGTGACACTGCCAGGCGCAGCCCTCAGAAGCCTGTTGCAAGAGGGTAGGGTTTAGGATCGTGTAGGGTTTAGGGTTTAGGGGTTAGGGGTTAGGGTTTAGGGTTTAGGGTTTAGGGTTTAGGGTTTAGGGTTTAGGGTTTAGGGTTTAGGGTTTAGGGTTTAGGGCAGGTGACTGTTGAGCGCTTGCGCAACGAGCTGCGCGAGCTGGATGCTGACCGAGCAAGGCTTCAACGAGAGGCCCGTCCCTGTGTAGACCAGTGCGCCGAGCGCTTTTTGTAGCGATGCTGGCCTTCAACCCTTTGGGGTCATCATAGGGTTAGGGGGGTTAGGGTTTAAGGTGTAGGGGTTTAAGGGTTTAAGGTTTAGGGTTTAGGGCTAGACGGGGCGGCGAAATTTAGACGCTACAGTACCGGCCACGAGGCAGACCAGGCAACCCAAGAGCGCAATCGCCTGGAGGCTCGCCGCTTTTGATGCGAAGTTTTTTTAGGGTTGCTGAACGTTAAAGAAACCTTAAATGTTTATTATGCATTTTGTAAGAAGCTACGGTATGTGCATAGCAGAGCACATGTGTGCATGTTTAAGCTTTCAAGCCTTACCAGCGTGCACCTCACACCCAAACTCGTGTCGAGACGGAAAGGAGTTGAAAGTATAGGAATGCCCAGACCATGAACATGGGGTCATGGGGAATCGAGTTCGGTCTTAATAGAGCAGAAGAGGGGGAGGAAGAGGGGGAGTCTGTATTGAGACAGACTTCTGGAAGCTTCTTATTCCAGAGTATTTCCCACTTCGCCGCACGAACTTTGTTGCATGCTTCCAGTTTAGGAATACAAATCCGCGAAAACATCATTTCTTCTGCCAACCGTGGGCCTGTAATGCTTCTATCTCTGCCTATCCTTCGTGTTTTTTTTGTTTTTTTTCTTTCTCTCTCTCTCTCTCTCGCTCTCTCCCTCCCTCTCACTTCTCTCTCTCTTTCGCTCTCTCACTGCGTTACACACGTGGCGCTAGCCCAGAATCTGCTGAGGTTGAGCTGCAGGTCGCTGTGCCTGCTCTGGATGAAGTCGTGCGCCGGTGCAAATATTTGGAGGAGACCACGGTGGGAAAAAGGAAATCCGCTCAGTTTTTTGCATGGTTCACAAGGTTTTGTCATGTCTACAGTAGGGCTTAGGGCTTCGCATGGTGTAGAGATGTGTAGAGTATTGAGCATTTGTCAGAATCTCGATGAGCTGGGAGGTTGTGCATCCTTTGTCATCCATGCTTCAGTAGTCTGCCGTACCCGTGCACGCTGCTACGCAGGTGACAAGAAGTGACAAAACATGGAAGCCCCTTTCCCACCTGTCTTGCGTGACCTCGCATGCGAATCACCAATGTGACCAGTGTAGCATTCGCCCCCTTTCCCAGATGCGAGAATTTGTGCAGGAACGCCTTGTAGAGCGGGTGCGCGAGCTGAGTGATGAGCTGAAGCCTTATTTCCAGCCTCTCTAATGCCTAAACCCGAAACCCTGAACCCTGAACCCTAAACCCTAAACCCTAAACCCTAAACCCTAAACCCAAATCCTCCCGTGGCTAGGTCAGACCGTGTACAGCGACTCCAAGACCAAGCAGCTTCTGCCAAGGCCAGGCAAAGAAGACTTGAGGTTTAGGGTTTAGGGTTTAGGATTTAGAGTTTAGGGTTTAGGGTTTCGGGTTTAGGGTTTGGGTGTCTGGTTTAGGGCCAAGGAGCTAAGAAGTATGGGTCTGCAGCATGGGTGTGTTTGGGCTTCTGACTTTTAAGCATATGCAGCGGATGCATGCGACTTATTCATCTCACGACTGCGCGTGCGACTTCGACTACGACTATACGACGACGACTATACGACAACGACGACTGCTACTACCGGTTGGGGTTTTCGTGTCGGCTGTGAGAAGACTCGTGCCGGGGGAGGGGGGTGCCAGGCAAGCCGCTCCCTAAAACAGCCATATCCAGATGGACACAGGTTTATATAGGGTTTATGGTTTTGGGTTTTGGGTTTGAGGTTTAGTGTGCGTGGGCGAGGTTTTCCCAACCCCCTCGAAGGAAAGGAAGAGAGACACCAAAAAAAGTGAGGGAGCTTTGGCAGATGGTAGGAGACTCCAAGGTGTCTGGTTGGGATGACTCTGGGCGGGGAGTATACAGGTGCATGCTGGGGTGGCGAGCCTTGGGTGTTCTAGCCGAGACTATGATGGGGGAGGAGGGGGCGGCTGAGTAAACGTCAACCCTACCCCTGGCATGCATTGAAACCATGGCAGATGCCCTGCGTGTGAATACATGTCTCTCTGGCAGCTTTGCAGGGTGAGCATCTCAGGAAACCATTCGTGTATTGAGTGGGGGGGAGCGAAAGAAAAGGCAGGCTGCACACAGCCCTTGGTCCGGCGCGAGGATTCAAGGCCACGTTGAATGACCGAAGGTGCCTCTAAGGCATGTGGGTCGCTGCGAGGTGAAGCTTTGAAGCTTCCGTCTGTGTCCCAAAATACCATGTGGGGGTTTCTGAAATAGGGATACCTTCATGGGGTCCTTAGAATGAGCGAATCCTATTTCGGGGACAATATTAAGGGTCCCTCATTTTCGCCCTTTCCAGGCACGGCTGCGGACGATGGAGACTCAACATGAAGCCTTGCCGAAAAGGCGTCAGTGTGAACCTTATAGGGGTTCTTTGGATTTCCATGGCTTTTTGTTGGGGCAGAAAGGTTTCTTCAGAATTTTTGAGGGGGAGAGTTTGGGTGACTGACTTAATTTTAACGCTACGCGACCCGCCTCGGCCCGGCCCAGCGCATCCGCGTGAGCATGGTGATTCCGCAGCGCCCAAGTCGCTGGACCCCAAGCAATAAGGGTTGGGTTGAGGGTTGAGGGTTGAGGGTTCCGGGTTTATGGTTTATGGTTTATGGTTTGGGGTTTGGGGTTGAGGGTTAGTTTAGGGCTCAAGGTTCACGCTTTGGGGTTGAGGGTTTTTTTGGGTTTAGGGTTCGGCTTGGAGTGATCGTAGGGTTGAGGGTTGAAGGCGACTCTTTGGCAGGGTGGGGAGGTGGGGTGGGGGGAGGGGGGGGGGGGGTAGGGGGGGGGGGGTGGGGGGGGGGGGGGGGGGGGGGGTCGTTGCGGATTCCGGTTTAGGGGAGGATTTGGAGGGGTGCCTGTTCTGACAACCTATACACCTCCGTGTCCAAGACCTTGCAGATTTGTGGCCGTGCTCACACCAGGGGTACAGGGGGGGCTAGAGGGGGGGGCTGGGGGGGGGGTTGGGGGGGGGGGGTTGGGGGGGGTTAGGGGGGGCAGGGGAGGGGGGTAGGGGGGGTTAGGGGGGTGGGGCGGGAAAACGGGGGGCGCCCTGCTGGGATGGGCTGCAACTGCCTCTGGTCCTGGCGAGACATCCGCTTGCGGACCCTCCTCTCCTAGGGGGGGTACCCATTTGAAGCAAAAAAAGGGGGCCGAAAAGTGGCTTTGGGCTTGGGGGGAGGATTTGGAGGGGGGTGCCTGTTCTGACAACCTATACACCTTCGGCCCGAGGCCTCGGCGGATTTGGGTCTTAGATGGTCCATGTTCAACTACAGTAGACACGGGCCCAGCACAGAAGACGGAGCGGCTTTGGTCCAGAGGGACTTAGTTTCAGAAACCCCTAAATAAACCGGAAAAATGTTGGGTGGCAACACAAAAACCGGAGGGTTGTTGCTTCATTCCCCTGGCTCTTAGTAGGGAATGAGGGAATGAGGGTCCTATATATACCCTCTAAAGGACTCTATAGGGTACTCATTCCCTCATTCCCTACTAAGAACCTGACATTCTCTAAGCCAGGGGGTGGCTTCCACATGGCAATGTGCAATATCGGGGTCGGAAGAATTACTCTTCCTTAGGGTCCCAACATACGATAATAACCCCCCAAAACCCTATTCTAATTATTTAGGCCCCCGTGAACCCTAAACCCTATTCTAGGTACTTAGGCCCGATATTACATGTCTCTCGGCTTTGGGTTTAGGGTTTAGGGTTTAGGGTTCAGGGTTTAGGGTTTATAGGGTTCAGGGTTTAGGGTTTAGGATTTAGGGTTTAGGGTTTGAATTTGGGGTTTAGGGTTTATAAAGCCCTACAGCAAACCTTGGTGAGGTCTCCTCGGCCTCCATGGGTTACTCCGCACAAGGTCCGTTTTCTGCAAGCGTGCAACAATGGGAGAGCGGACTTGTAGAATTGGCCTACCAGCGTGGGCTATTAGCCCTATAATCCCCATAATCAGTCCTATAAAGGGTCTTTTTGGGGGGTTATAGGGTGTTTGTGACACCAGAGATAGATTCGGATGTTCTTCCAGGCAGCATATCCGCCAACGCGGCATTTCGTGCCGTCCGACGAAGCCCCCACCGTTCAGGCCACCGGCTGCTGGATGTCATACAGCGCATGACCAACTTAAAGTTGTATGGAGACCATGTGGCCAGTCAGCAAGCAGGCGCCAAGTCCGCGACGAGGCGACTTTCCTCAAGCAGCGCTCCGCACGCAGGCGCGCGCGGATGCGGACACCATCGCCGGATTTGCAGCTTCTACACCATCCCATCCCTAAACCCTAAACCCTAAACCCTAAGCCCTAAACCCTAAACCCTAAACCCTAAACCCCCTGAGCCGCGAGCGGGTTGCAAACTGAGTGCCCTGCGCAGGCTGCGCTGCAGGAACCGCGAGGCGACATGAGCGCAAGGCCACAGCCCGGTCATGACACAACAGCCACCATTGTCGTCATGATTGCTGTATGGAATAAGTCCAGAGAATATAATGTGGTATAATATAAGTATGAATGTAAATCTAAACATAAATAAATACATATATATATATATATATATACCCATATATATAGGTATACATCTTTATTTTGCCACTGTGTGTGTGTGTGTGTCCCTGCCCCTTATAGTCGCGGTGAAGCTCTCTGGGCTGTAGATGCGGTGAAGTGCGCTACTCTAGAAGCCCCAGCATGCCAACCACCAAGGGGCTTCATGTCCGCAACTTACCTGCTCCGCGCCGGAGTTCCTATATGCACAGCAACCCCATGGCTCCATGCTGCTGAGACAGCCCGCAATCGCTGGTCTCTCCTCGCCCTGTTTGCGTTTGGACATTGCCAAGAAAGCCCCTGGTCGTGCTTGCAATCCGTCGCCAGGGTGTTGTGCTCTTGCTAGCAGCCTTGCCACCGCGGTGGTAGCTGCTACGAGCACTGGCAGGAAGAGCAGACGAGCTCTTACTACCAAGAGAGCCATGAGGAGTTCTGTGCTCGAGTCCCTACGCCTTGAACTTCACAAGACGGGTGGGCGATTGGAGCGCAACCTCGTGCCATTTCTCAAGAAGGAGGTGAATCAGGCCATGGGCGGAGTACGCGTGAACATCCCAAACAAGAGCCGGGGACAAACTCAAGATCTCCTCGCGTCCGCACGCGTGCTCGTGGCAAGAATCCCAAAGGTTGACGTCTGCTTGCACTACAGCCTCAAGAACATGCCAGCAGGGGTACGGCCGTTGAGGGACTTCTTGTTGGAGGCAGCGGACATGGGCGTTCAGGCCGTTCTCCTCGTGTCGGGCGCCACCAAGCCGAAGCAGGATGCTGTGCATTGCCTGCGGGAGCTTGCGGCCGATGCTATACCCGCCTTGGGAATTATTATTAAATTTTGTTTATATAAAACCCAAGAGGATATTAAACATGTATTACATTAAGGTTCAAAAAGGGGAGTAGAGGAGCCGGTCGAGATCACCCTTCTTGTGTGAGTTTTTATTAAGGTTCCAAAAAGGGGGAGTCTAGGATGTCTGCGAGAACCAGTTGAAGCTCCCGCGGCTCGGTGTGGCCTTCAGCCCTTTCGAAGATCCGGCCGTGGAGCAGGCGCGCCTGAAGGACTAGCTTGCTTGGGCTTGTGCTGTCAGAAATTGCTCTTCATGCCCTAAACCCTAAACCCTAAACCCTAAACCCTAAACCCTAAACCCTAAACCCGTATTTTGAGCATGTTTTGGGGCCGCGCTCGTTCATGTTGCATGAAGGACAAGCTGTCCTCGGGCCTGGTGCAAGAAATTTGGCTACAGATTGGCTCTGACCTTCTTGCGCTGCGTGCTGGGCTTGAGTTTCTGAGGGATGCAGCTCCTGGCATCAAGATCTACGGCTCCGTGCTTGTGCCATCACAGAAGCTGCTGAGCAGGAGCTCTGACTCCAGCTGTTGACCTTCATACGTAGTAGCGTGTCGGTGTGTTGTACGAAAGCTGGAGAAAGTCCATAGTCCTGGCCGCAGCAGCAGCAACAGAAACAGGAGGAAGAAGAAACACAATGAACAAGAAACAAGTCATGGGAGGTTCAGGGTGCTTACTAACCCAACAACGAATGTGCTTGTAACCCAATTATAGCCACATCACGGCACTTAAGGGGCTTCGAAGTGGCAAGCACAGTAGTAATTGGTTAATAAGTACCATGAGCCTCCAAGTAGGGCCTTGCGGAGGATAAACGGGTGTGCACAGCAATATGGGGGAGTCACCCTGTCTGTGGAGGTTTCGTGAACGACCGTGGCACGGAGTCGACCTTACCCCGAATGGCTATCTCCAGTCCCTGCCGGATGCAGAGAGGATCACCAAGCAGATCCTATATCCCCCTTGGGAATGATTTCTTTTAGATATTTGTTTATGTTGATATAAAGCCCAAGAGGATGTTAAGAGTTTTTTTTATTAAGGTTCTAAGGGGAGTATAGGATCTTGCAGCTGTATTCAGAGTTCGGCGTGCTGCCCCTGGTGGAGAGCCCTGTTGAGAGTTCCGCGGCTTTGCGAAGCGTGACAGCCCTGATGCAAGAGGCCTGGGGGAGCCAGCAGACGGAGCACGAAGATGCTCACAAGGCTGAGAAGGCGCAAGCTGCACAACTTCCAGTGGGCACCGATGAAGTTGACTGTTCCGGCCTGGCCCTGATGTGGTTTAGGGTTGATCTGCGGTTGCATGACAATCCCGCCTTGATCGCCGCAGCGCGGCACCCCGAGCTTATCCCACTGTACATCGCATCGGAGGAGGCAGGCGGAGCGGCACAAGTCTGGCTGAGGGAATCCCTCAAAGCCCTAGCAGCATCGCTAGAGAGCTTGGGGTCACGGCTCCTGGTGCGTCAGGGAACTGACTTTGAAGCACTGAAGCTTGTGTGCAAGCAGCTCGACGTCCGAGCGGTCTACTTTAATCGTCGGTACGAGCCTTGGCTGAAGAAGGCCGATGAGGAGATTTCCGAGCAACTGCGGCAGATGGGCGTTGCCGTGCACAGCTTTGCAAGCTACCTGCTCTACGAGCCCGAAACAATCTCCATGAGAAGCGGCTTTCATCATGGCCACTGGGGAACCCTACTGCCATTTCTGGGCGCTTGCCGCAAGCTCGGGCCGCCCCGGAAGCCCCTGCCGACACCAATGCTTCCACCTGGCCCGAAGCTCGCAGACATCGCGGACACCTACTTAGCCAACAGTTGGACTTTGAACTTTTTGGGCTTCCTTATGTAGCAGGAAAAAACAAAGTTCAACCTTTTTTCCCCTAGGTTCTTGGAGAAGTAAGGACACCCTCACGCAGCCGTTGGAGGAGCTACGCCTCGCCGAGATCAAACCTGGAATCAGGGACTGGCGGGCTCCCCTCTGTGATGCATGGGACTTTGGTGAGGATGCTGCCCTCTCCCAGATGCATGCCTTTGTGAGTGGCCCTCGCTTGGCAAGCTACGAGAAGCAAAGGAGCCGGGCCGACCTAGAAGAGAATCCCAACTCACGCTTGTCGCCGTACCTCAGATGGGGGCAGCTCTCCCCTAACGACCTCTACTGGGCCGTGAAGGCCACGGGCCTGCCCGAAAAGGATGTGAAGATCTTTCAGCGCAGGCTGTTCTGGAGAGAGCTGGCGTATTTCCACTACATGGTCTTCCCGAGCATGCGGCGCGAGCCGATCCGGGCGAAGTACAAGGACATCAGGTGGAACCAAGATGCGCAGTTGCTGAAGAAGTGGCAGAAGGGCTCCACCGGGTTCCCTTTGGTCGACGCAGCGATGCGGGAGCTCTGGCAAACCGGGTGGTGCCAGCAAAACATGCGCATGGTAGCAGCATCTTTCCTTGTGGAGCATTGCAACATTGACTGGACTCATGGTGCTGCCTGGTATCTATATCCCCCTTGGGAATCATTTTTTGTGTATATAAACCCCAAGAGGATATTACAGATATTGTGTTTATTAAGGTTCTAAGGGGAGTATAGGTATGAGGACACGCTTGTGGATGCCGACATTGCCATCAACAGCATGATGTGGCAAAATGCTGGCCGTTCTGGCATTGATCAGTGGAACTTCGTCATCTCACCAGAAGGTCGGGGCCTCATCGCCTCTAGTAAACGTGCAGTTCAGGTGCTTTCCTTCGGTTCATTCTTAAGTCTATAAGCCCTAAACCCTAAACCCTAAACCCTAAACCCTGTGCCCTGGCACCGCTGAGGTGGGTCGCAGGACCCCTCTGGTGCATACGTGCGCCGCTGGGTTCCCGAGTTGCAGAAGCTGCCAAGGCGTTTCCTGCACAAGCCCTGGGAGGCACCTTAGGGGTTAGGGGTTTAGGGTTTATAGGGTTTTTAGGGTTTTTAGGGTTTATAGGGTTTATAGGGCTTTTAGGGTTTTTAGGGTTTTTAGGGTTTAGGGTTTAGGGATACTTGGAAATAGTTTTATTTTTTTGGATACTTTTCTTCCTAAGAAACAGCAAAAATCATCATTTTTGCTAGGGTTCAAGTTCAGTATAGGCACCGGCTGATGTCTTGAGGGCTGCTGGTGTTGTCCTAGGCGAGACGTACCCCTTGCGGTGCGTGACAGATCTGAAGGGGGCGCGGCAGAGTTCCTCGGACGCGGTCGTAGACATGCGCCGTGGAATTATGCACAGCCAGTGGAACGATGCAGAGGGCTATGACGTCATCAGCCTCCCAGGAGGCGAGCTTACCAAGGTCTTTACCAGGCGGGAGTTTCGGCTGCCGAAGGCTTCTGCGGCCAGGCAACCTAGCCGGTCCAGATCACCACGACGGAGTGGCAGACGTCGGCCTAAGGTTGCACGCCGTGCATGCCTACCATCCAAAGTGAGCTGGGCTCTTCGAGACTCAAGTGCCGCCGTCATTGATTTAGAGGATTGATGTGGATTCCGATGGCTTACTTGGAGGTTCATGGTACTTATCAACCCAATAGTAGCTGTACTTGTAACCCAACTATGGCCATATTAGGGATTATAAGTACAGTTTTAATTGGCTACAAGTATTAGGTACCATGAACCTCCAAGTAGGGTCCATCGCTCCATGCCCTAAACCCTAAACCCTAAACCTTAAACCCTAAAACCAAAGCCACAATTCACTGCACATTCGATGTCCACTCCTCTCGGTCACCGACTCGGTACACATTCTCGACGCTGCACAGGTAACGTCACAGCGTCCCCACAAGCGGGCATTTGGGTCCCCCTACTGTACCGCAACACAGTATAATTTCATAGCTCTTATTCCATACTATAGGAACCTCCAATATAGCTAAACCTAAATCCGAAACTGTAAGCTCAAACTAAGCCCATACGCCCGCTAACTTTCGGAATCCCGCATCAAACGATGGAGTGGATGCTCATGGCATTTCCGCCGACATTCGACCAAAATCCGGCAACAGATGAAGCTGATTGCAGTTGTTCCTTCAATACCGTTATGCGTTCTTCTTCTAACACGTCTTCCAATCATTGTTGCTACTGGTCTTATTGTTATTATTGTTGTGATTAGATGTTTGTGTTGTAGTTTGATCACCCTGCTTTTTTCCGCCCGAATGCACGAACAGAGAGCCCTTTGGACCACCGTCAACTTCTTGTCGTGGACTATTTCGGGTTGGCGTTTTTCCCATGTAGTTTCAGATTATATAATCTTCAAAGGCACTGGTTTGAGGATGCCTGCTGCTGCATCTAGCTACATACATTCACGCGCGGTCCGGGGCGGGGAGGGGGGGGGGGGGGGGGGAAGGCATGATCCTCGCTCTAAACCCTAAACCCTATACCCTATACCCTATAAACCCTGAACCCTAAACCCTATAAGCTGATCCGATGGACAGGCTGCCAGGCCCGGGTCACCGAGACCCCGTTAGCTCAGACACTGCTGGCGCGACGGCGGAAGGCACAGCTGCACGCCATCTTGAACCTTGAACTGACTAGAGTTTAGGGTGTAGGGTTTAGGGTTTAGTGCCGGGCCACATCAGATTTTCCTCCTCCTCCCCCGCAAGCTGCAATAAACAAGGGACTTGTCAGTTTACCGCCTGCCCCAAGTCCTTCGAACTCCGTCATGGTGCGTGTGGGTTGACCTTTGCCAGGACCTGATGCTGCTCGACGCGAATCCCCAGGCTCGCCAGCCGGTGTCACACGTGGGCTTAAGCACACAAGGGGTTCCGGTTTCTTAGAGCCGTTCGGTTTTAGGTTCTAGCGTGCCCAGAGCTGAAGTTCATCCCTGCAGCAAAAGGGCTAGGGCTTAAAGAGCCCGCTTCAGGAGTCTGGGCTTAAGAAAAGAGCCACGGGCTCAAATGGGTTTTGAGGCAAAGAATTTCTGGCCTGCTGGAGCCGCCCTGCGTCCATGCTAGGGGCAAAGCAATAAAGTCTTGGGTTGTGGGTTCCTATTCCTACCTTAACAGCCCCAAAACTGTTTTTTGCAGGTTGCCTAAGAACCCTTTAAGAGGTGTTATAATCATGACCAGGGTTCCCAAGGTAAGTGGAGGGTCTGGGCGCCTGCTGGAGTGGCTCGATAGGTTCACGGTGGAGCCTTTGCAACGCCAGCTACGGGCTCAAGCATGCAGGGTTTGGGGTTTAGGGTTTAGGGTTTAGGGTTTAGGGTGTAGGGATGAAGCAGACATGTTTTGGGCCGGGCTAGCTCTTCTTCACCAGGGCGGTTGCGACTTTGCAGTGGCAACCTCAGTACTCTCAGTGTCGGCTTAGTCTTAGAGTACACAGAGACTCCAGTAGGTCACTGAGCATTTATAGATTGGGTGTGGAATGGCCCGCCCACTCAGACGCGTTGCGGAATCCTCGGAGCCAGCTGTGAAGCTGTTTGTGATATCCAGTGCTTGGCCATACAAGCCGACGCATTCGCCTTTGGGACCCCTCGTCCTATTGCACGGAGCGACCGGCCCGACGGACTACATCGGTGGGGGGAGGGGAGGGGGAGCCGGGGGTTTAGGGTTTAGGGTTTAGGGTTTAGGGTTTAGGGTTTAGGGTTTAGGGTTTAGGGTTTAGGGTTTAGGGTGCGGTTCCTTTTGGGGACCCATGGTGCCGGGGTTCCATCACAAAGTGTTCTTATCTTTTCTTAAAAGGGGTTTGATCTTCAAGGCTGCAAGATTGAAAGAACTAAGCCCTACAACCCCAGAGTTTCAACCCCCTAAACCCCAAACCCTAAACCCTAAACCCCAAACCCTAAACCCTAAACCCAAAACCCTAAACCCCAAACCCTAAACCCTAAACCCAAGAAGTTTCAACCCCCCTGGAGGTCCTGAAGGTGCGTGCCTCCAGCACATCGACCTGGCATGCGCGCTACTGCGGCCGGAGCATGACCTGCTGTTTGTCATCGACGTGTCTCTAGACCGTAGTAGATTAGGGTTTAGGGTTTAGGGTTTAGGGTTTAGGGTTTAGGGTTTAGGGTTTAGGGTTTAGGGTTTAGGGTTTGCGGGAGTTGCCCGTTTTTTTTATACGTCTGTTTTGTAGATGGGACCAGGAGCATATATGCTTGTCTAGTTCAGGAGCCTTTCCGACATTCGGGGTGCCTTCATTTAGGGTCCCCTATTTACCACAGAAACCCCCAGAACAGTTGAGGTCTGATGTGGCCTCAGCCCAAGAGTGGGAAGCAGAAGTGGGCCGGCCAGGACGAGCGAGACGGATGTTGGAGCGCTGGTTTGCCAAGTTCAACCCTCGAAAGGCCATTATATCCCCCTTGGAATTTTTTTCATTTTTTGTTTAACTAAAACCCGAGAGGATATTTAAACAAGTTGTTTTTATTAAGGTTCCAAGGGCAGTATAGGCCACGGTCATCGCCTTCGGCAGGGATGCCGAGCTATGGGTGCCGCTGGTAAGACTTCACGACGAGCAGCGCGTCTCGAAGATAATCGTCCTTGGCGAGCCTCCCTGCCAAAAGTCCGCGGCTCATCTTGATGCAGGACATGTGGAGATAGGGTAGTTTAACACTAAAAAACCATTTAGGGCTGTTTAACGATAAAGAACCCTTGATGCAGGACATGTGGAGATCTGCAGTCTTGGCAAGCCCTCTAGCATCGAGATGCTGATGGATGCAGTGGGCTCACCACCATCAGCACTCGACAGGCATGACCTGTACTTCACATATGTGGACTTCGACATCAACCGTAGAACCAAACAACTCGCCTGTCACTCAGCTGGCCTCTTGCTTTCCCAAGTCTGCATTGTGCGTACCTGTGTTCTGGAGCTGAGGTCCAGAATGGGCAGAACATCTCGCGTTTGGTCGCCGAGGCGTTCGGCGACTCACTCCCCTCTTTGGGCTCCAACGACTCTCAGCGAGAGGGTGCTGGTAAAAACCTGCAGGCAGCAGTCTCTGCAGAACGATGCCCCATTCCAGCGGATGTTGTTGCGCTGCTCAACAAGTCAGGGCAGGACCCGCCGGACCTGACATCCAGTATCAATTCCACGCAGTTCCTTGGTCCAGGCATGTCTTTCGCCGGCCTTGCCGTCATCATCCAGACCTGCTCACAGAACAAGGATGCCAACGTGTTGCGAGCGCTGCTGACTGATACGCATGGATCGGTGGAGGGCATCTTCCCACTAAGCATGACCGACGTACTTGTTCCGGGCAAGACTGTGGCAGTTTCAGGGCGAACGGTTTCGCTCGAAGGTCGCTTGCTGGTCCTTGGCCAACAGGTGACTGCAATTCGTGGCCTACGGGAGGGCTACAAACCAGCGTCAGATGGGAGGCGGAATGTGTCGGAAGTGTCTAGGCGATTCGGCTGCTTGATCCTCAGGGGGCGAAAATGCGTCCTGGCGCGGGATGCCAACAGGCAGTTGTACATACCAGCCGATGAGCCGCGGAATCATGAGACGGCACAGCAGGCAGCCACACGAGCGGTGGCAGAAGCCTGCGACATCTTCCCTGATGAGTTTGTGTTGCTCGGGGATGTTCCACCTGCCATGTACTATGACAAGGGCGGTCCAGTTGCAATGGTTGTTACGATTTTCGCGGCTGTGGCAACCAACCCACCTCCACCAGGAAGTGCTGAAGACGCCGACACCATCGAAGACCTAGATGACATGTACGACTGGTTCCCATACGAGCAAGCAATTTCCCGATTGTCTGATGCAAAGGAACGCCATGCCATCACTCGATTGGCAACCGGCACCTAAGCTGCCTGTTTTGTGCCATCCAGGGATTGTGCTGCAGAGTCTCCAACACCCTTCAACAACCCAAACAGAAGCCAAAACTCGCATGGGTTTCTTTGGGGTTGAAATTGGACCCCCCACATCGGCTGGCCTTCTCACCTCCTGTTCTAGTGGGCACAAGTTGTATCACAAGTTGTATCCAAACCCGAATAAAAACCCTCAACCCAACCCCTGTAATCTGTGAACCAGAAACCCTCCCACCCTCGGTCCGATCAACAAACCCAACAAGCAGGGTGCATGGGGGGCAGAACCCTTAATGTCTCCGTGCCCGGTTTGGGTTGCGTTTCAGGCGGTGGTTCATTGGTTTTGATGCGCCTTTTGTGCACCTCCCTGGTAAGCATGGACCTTTGCACTGGAAGATCTTGAATTAAGGCTTGGCCCGTACAGGGCTTCAGGTTCCGCACAGACGCCTAATCAAGGTTTGACCAACCATCGACCCAGGCTGGACGCCATGCTGATTTTCTACGATTTTGAGCGCAGTGTCCTTCGCACAGCAACCGCGCAAACGTGCGGCTATTTTAGCAGTGCCGATCAGTGCCGGCGATGACGAGGTGACCCTGCGCGGGTGCGTCACGTTGTAGTCGTCCACGCGCAGGCCCTGCACCAAGGGCACACAGAAAGCCAGGTACAGCACCAGGGCGATCAGAGCGGCCGTTGACGCGCCCGCCACGTAAAGCAGCGGCCGCATAGGCCGGCTGTCGAGGCGCAGCACTCTCAACAGGTCGGAGTAGCTCACCACAAAGCCACAAAGCAACAGATCATGAAAAAGTTCAATCAAACAACCAATCACACAACGATCGCAACCAATCACAAAAGTTAAAACAACCAGAAAATGTGGTGGTTGTGTCACTTGAACGGCAGTGTTCAAAGTCGCCTTGCACACGTTGCATTGCAAATCGTTCGCCACCATGCCGCATCCACGAAATGCATGAAACATGAAGGGGGTGTGTTGCTTTTAACTATGGTTCAGTTGCATGTGGCGATAAACAAGGAGTACAGGTTTAGGGTTTAGGGTTTTAGGGTTTAGGGTTTAGGTTTAGGGCTTCGAGCATCTGTGGCCAACTAAGACGTCGCCGCGGCTGTGGAGTTTGGCATAGTGTCGGCGGACTTCCCATGCACGTTTGGTGCTGGCACTGCGCTTGGACCAGTCTCACAGATGCACTCAACGCCATCAGGACGTGATACTTAAGCATTTTACAGCAGGCTCAATCTCATGTGCATTTTCTGGTGTTTGTTGGCGATTTTTGCTGCAAGCTGGAGAGAAGAATGCAGGCTTACACTGTAATACACGGCACAAAGCACGCGAGAGAGAGAGGAGGTACCTAAGAATAATATCATGGATACATAGAGAGGAAGAGGGTGACTAAGTTGAACGCTGACTAGATGGCCAAACGTACCAGCTCAGACACCGTCCGACTAAACGGCCGCGAAGTAGAGTGCCTTGCCTCATCCGAGTTATGAGAGTTGAAGCCTTCAAGTTGAGAGGCGGGGGAAGGGCCCCCAAACCAGCCGCCTCCAGCCAAACCCTCTTCCAGCCTATGCCCCCTCCAACCAAACTCCCTCCAGCCAAAACCCAAACCCCCCCTCCAGCCAAACCAGCCCCCGCTAGCCAAACCCCCCACCCCCCCTCGGGCAGGCTTTCCCAAATTGTTGGAACCCTGCCGCAGGATCAGACTTGGACATGCCCGACCAGCACTTCTTCGCTTCCAGGGCCAAGAGCCGACGTGGCGGTGGCTTTGGAGGTCGATATGGTGGATGCAACGTAGCTTGGACATGTTCGCGTACCAACCCTGCCCAAACAATCTAAACCCTAAAAAGCCCCAAACCCCACACCCTAGACCCTAAACCCTAAACCCTAAACTACCCTAAACCCTAAGCCCCCAAAAACATGTAGGCACGGCCCTGTTGTCTCTGAGGCTGGATGCTGTTGAGGTGGTTCCTGTGAACCTCGGTTTCACCCGACATGTCTCGGCCGCGGGCTCCTCTACGAGCTTACCCTAAGGGTCCATGTACCTATATAGTATATAGGGTTTAGGGTTTAGGGTTCCCATATAGTAGCTCTACTGCCCAAATATATACTGTATGGGTACATGGACCCTTAGGCTTAGGGAACTGAGGCAGCTTGTCCATCAGCTTTCCCGGCTGTTCCCCAGGGCCATACCATAAGAGCCCGGGACGGCCCTAAACCCTAAACCGTAAACCCTAAACCCTAAACCCTAAACCCTAAACCCTAAACCCTAAACCCTAAACCCTAACCCCGCGCCCGTGAGGTGCTTGTGCCCAGAATCTCAGAGGTCAGACAGCGGCAGTCCCAAAAAAACATGCCTGGCAAGAGCTGCTAAGGAAATGAAAGATGAAGTTGCCATACTAAGGAGACTAAAATATACCATGTGTATATGTGTATATTAGTCATAAACAAGTAAATATAAATAAATATTGGAAAATTTAAACATAAATATAAATACATATAACTATAAATATAAACATAAGTACAAATAGAGATATATAAAAATAAATACAAATATAAATATAAATAAGTATGTATATATATATATATGTATATATATATATGTGTGTATATATATAGATATGTGTGTATATATATAGATATATAGATACATAGATATAGGTGTATATATATATATATATATATATATTGCATGTTGTGGCAACTTGCTGCTTACAAGCTGCCTTGATGCTGGGCCCAGGCATAGGACCCCAGGAGCCAGACTTTCAGCATCTTTCAGCAACGAATCCCGTGCTTGGCGTGGCAGGCCCCGTGTCGAAAAGCAGGGATGCAGTTCGGTTTCTCTGCGAGCTCGTGCCTCAGAAGCAAGAATCAGAAGCACCCAGCGATACCTGTGTCCTGTCATGAGCCGGTCCAGCTGCTCAACTGGGAAATCCATAAATCCCGAAAGGAAACTTTGCACGTCTACCCAGACCCTTACCCTAAACCCTACATACATGGGTCCTTACGGTAGTCTGAATCAGGGGGGCTGCCAGGTTCGTAGCCAAGGAGGAGCAGCGACTGGGGCTGGGCCTGTCTTCGCCCAGGCTCGAAGTAGGGCTTAGGGTTTAGGGTTTAGGGTTTAGGGTTTAGGGTTGCAAGCTTGTCTCAGTCTGG